TCTTTTGAGGGGCCATTTGATAAAAGCTGAAGTGGCTCAACAGAATGACTTACTTTTTTTGTTTTGTTTTCAATGAAGAGAGTGGTCATATAATGAAAATATTTAATGGTACAGCAATCAACTCAATATCATTGCCCCTAAAATTGAAAAACATCACTTTTTTGTTTTTTTTTTTTTATAATAAACGTCTCTCTCATAAATTGAAAAAAATATGTAACAATTAAGAGGGTATTTGGTAGTGTAAAAATATTGTTGGTCCTGTCCACGATAGAATGTGGTGTTTTGCTTTGTGTGGATGGTCTCTGTCCACAAAATAACATGAACAGGGATGGGCCATACATCAATTTATCATTCACAATATCTTTTTGTGGATGGGCCACAGTATGGTATGGATAGTTTGTGGAAAGGATTCAGTGTAATGCCGGTGCGTTAACACTGGTCCAACTGCCATCATTTTATTTCATCTTTTAATATATTTTAATTTATATTGAAATTATTTTTTAAATTGTTTGTTGTTGAAGATAATATTGTAATGATAAATATATTTATTTTTATATTTATTAGTAATTGTGTATTGGTGTTTATTTTATCCATTATTATTTCAAATTATTTTTGGCTTAAATTGTGGTTTTTTTTATTCGTGACTGTATGGATGCAAATGGATCAAATCATCTAATCTGAATCCGATCATCTTTTTGTAAGATTCAGATAACCCTTTGTCGGATCTGACCTATTCGATCACTCCTATCCGATCTGACCAATATATGTATATATTTATAAACATAATTACTTATAAAATACATGTATATATTAATATATTTATTTATAAATATGTTTTTATTGCATTTTTTGTAATTTTTTTATAAAAAGGCATGTATATATTAATATATATGATGAAAATAGTTGAAAAATACTTATATTTTTTGTTTTTATTTATATACTTTTTTTTTGTTTTTTCTTTTAATAATTTATTAAATTTTTTCATAATTTGAATCAGATCAGATTTGATTCAAATATTTAACATCCTTAACGGATTCAAATTTGAATCACCATTTGTGAGACCCAATCAGATTGGATCGGATCTTGTATTCTGCTATTGGATTAGATTTGGATATACCCTGATTGATTGTATAAATTATCTCACAAGTTGTACATGAGATGTATGGAATTAATATGTGTGGTGTAGACAAATCCACACTATACCTATAGAATGCCCTTGTGGGTATAAACAATTTCTATTCATAGAGTTTTGTCCACAGTTCATAACAGGTGTAAGCAATAGTGTGGTGTGGATTGGTTCCCGTCCACACCCACCAATTTCTCATCCACGTTACAAAACACCCCCTAAATAGTTCAACAAAACAATAAATTGGATGTTTTTGTGTTAAACACATATGTTACTCCAAAAAACACCATCAATACCAAACATCATCTTAATTGATAAAAACTCCATCATAAGGTTGGAATAGGGCTGAGTGGCTGATGTTGGTTATGAAATTCAAGCCATGGCTATTATAGATGGTTCCCTATCCATAGATTATGATGGCATTAGGTAACGTGTTCATCTCATAGATGGACCATTATGGTCCATGCCACGGGATGAGCTCCCCATTCGATTGGTCATAGACGGGACTAGTCCACACTATCGTGGACCGTCCTCACCCACAACCCAAAATCTCGGCCACGCTTGTATCTCGTGGATGTGGCTAGTCCACAACATTTCCACACTCTATTTTGATACAATACATCTCTTCTACGTACTTTTCTTTCTTTTTAATTTTTATATTTGAAAATAATATTTTTTAATTTAAATTTTAATATTTGATCAATAAAATAATATTTTTAATTTTAATTCTAGCACAAGCCCAACAATGCTTCTTCTCCACATTTTTAATGTTTTTATCAATAAAATAATATTTTTAAATTTTAAAATAATTTTTTATTTTTAATTATTTTACTATTATTTTTATTAAAATTAATATTTATTGGTTAATATTAATTTATCGATGACTTTTTTCAATATATTTATAATATAAAATGTAAAAATTAGACATTTACGATCGATTGTGTAGATCATTCATAAAATATATATGAGATATATTGAATAAAAAAGTTTGGTCTGGACTGCTCCACGCCACGCCTACAGATCGACACTTTGGGTGTGGAATAGTCTAATCTACATAATTTATCCATAGTTCATAATAGTTGTGAATTGTGATGTGGTGTGGATTGATTGGTTGGTCTCTACCACAGGGTGTGGTGTGGACCAGTCCACACCCACCAATTTCTCATTCACACTATAGAACACCCCCTACATTTTGTGGATGAATCTTTCAACTTGACCCGATTAAAAAACTTTTTATACACAATACTCTTCAAAGAGGTTTTTTAATCAACTCTATCTAGTAGGTTGCTTCCATTTACACAATTTTACATGTTTTTTCCATATAGAGTGATCTTGTGGCCAATCCAAACCATCCACCCAGGAGATGATACTTTGGATTGGCAACATGTTGAATCTTTCAGCCCACATCATCACTATAACTCAAGCCCAGATCTGCTATTTGTGCTGCACTTGTCATGCACTACATTCAATCTGTGACAGGTGTCTAATTATAGAGTTTGGGTTAGCTGAATGCTTTAACCGTGTGACAGGCTGTGAGTCTAATGAATTTAGGCATATCAATGATGCTTGAAATTTTGAGGCCCGATTCGATATCTGATTATATTATAATATTTATTGATTTTAATATATAAATTTTATATAGTCATAATTAAATTTATAAAAATATATATTTTATATATTATATTATATACGAATATATATATATATATATATATAATTCAGTATATTATATTTACATTAATTTATTATATATAAAAATTAAAAAGTAATTAACTTTTTACTTTTTTTATATTTTAAAAGATTAAAGAAGAGTTTGATTAAATCCGAATCCACTCAGATTCAAATTCAAGGTTTTCAAAACCAATCGAACTCATATAAATTTTCATTAATCGGATCAGATTTGAATTTTATCGGATTTGGATTTTGCTGAATTTAAATCTGATCCAATTACAACTGCCAGTGATAACGCTCAAACCAGTGTTAAAATATAGTGAGGGGTTGAATGTTTTTAGGTCCCATGCATTTTATCACTGGTGTGTAGTTGAGTAGTTATTGAGTTCAACTAATCCTATTCCCCACATAGTAATAGTGAATTGCACAGCCCAACCAGCACCGGTTCCAACATAACTGAGGAGGTCTGTGGTCTGTCATATACTGCGACCAGCCCTTCCTGGACATGACCACACCTACATCTGATGCCTGGGCTGGGCCTTGGTTACAAGAACCTATGCCTAACTGATCCCTAACTCAAGGCTGGGCTTACTAACTGTGCCAGGGCCCATCTACGGATGAAAACGGAACAATCTTATTCGATATTTAAGTAAATCCAAATTTAATTCATTTATATTCTATTTCAAATCAAATTTAGATTGCAATCATGTTGTATAAATAAAATAAACTATAAATGATGAAAATATTATATATTACTTATAAATGAATTTAAAATGATTTTGATATTATATTTCATGAATAACATGAATAGGAAATTGAGCATATGAAACTTTTAGGAGGCATTCTTGTTTTGGATTTTGAGAGGGGGGAAAGTTGGTCAATAAGATTTTGGTTCCCATTGACCGATAACCCCATATTCATTTTTCAGATTAATGTGGGGATCAGGGAATTTTTATTTTCCTAAGTATCACTTATCCAGAAAAGTGATACCCATCTCCTAGGTGTGTAAATAACTTTCCCACCTAGGAAGAAAATTGGTAACACTTGAATGGGACAAAAATGCCCCTTTTAATAATGAATTTTTATGATTAAAATGGTCATTACCTTATTTACCTGAGAAATAAAAGAACATGGATGAATGCACTTACCTGGGTAAATGTTTCACAGGAAAAACTTACCCAAATAATTGCATTCAGACCAACTTTACACACAAAATAAAATCTAAGTTTATATAAGTATATATATTTAAGTTGAACATAATTGGCTTATATTAGATTGAATAGGGATAGATCGATGTTTGATGTTTGATCCTATTATAAACAGATCAAATTTAGATAAACCATAATGGGATTTAATTCAAATTCGAACAATCAGATATTGTTTGCAGCCCTAGTCCCTGCTGTGGCGCTGCCACCTCTAAGATGATTAAAATGACACTAGAATTAGTTAAGGACAAGGACTTCTCAATTAATTTCATTTTCTCAGATAGTCATTTAAAAAGGGAAACTAGAGGGAAGACTATATAATTAAAGATTTATTTTAGGAGGAGAATGAAATTTACCCTATAAATGTTTTATCCAAGGTTCAAAGTATCGATATAGGCTGATATACCGATACCCAAGGTTAAGTCCCGAATATCCTCTGAACCTTGGGGCGTATCGGAAAGGCATCGGCATGATACGTATCGGTCGATACGAGTTGATACGTATCCATACTTTGAATCTTAATTTGATCAAATCGGGACATATACCAGACCATAGTCATCATATGTTGGCCCATCCACACATCAATTTAGGACCACAGCTGACGGCCTAAAAGGTCCGACCATCCGGTTTAGTAAAGGTCCCATGTAATGTTGTCAGACTTTAGACCAGAAAGAAAGAAGGAAAGCAAACTTGATCAATGTGGTTTTACCAGATAACCAGCGAATTGGATCTTCCTTCTTTTTTTTTATTTTTTGTTGGGTAAAAGCCAATTAGATCTTCCAAGCATCCGGTTAACTTCACTGGGTCACCGGGTCGTTGGTTCAACTATCCAGTCAGGTCCGGTTCTGACAACACTGTATGGAACCTTTACTAAACCGGATGGTGAAGAGTGTAAACTCAAATGAATTTTACTGTATAAAGTTGATTCTGGGTCTGAGTTGATTTCCAGGACCAAAGCCCATATACATCACAACTTACCAATTGCAATTAATCCGGTCTCAAGTCAGAACAAATTAGTTTAAACCTTAAATCATATAGAGAATACAAGAAGACAAACAAACACACCAGAAGTACATTTCTCTCAGATCTAGATACAGAAAATGGCTTTCATCTATTACACTAATACCTCCTCTTTCCAGTCCACCTAATATCAAACTTGGTGTAATCAATTTCAAAATCCAGGGACTTTTAATTAGAATCAGAATCAGCATTCCAACCAGCTGGAGAGATGCCACCAGTTTCCATATGGAAGACCCACCAACCAGGGAGACCTCTTTGGATAAAATAGATGCAATTGCCTCTGCATCCCAATTCACTTGCAGAGACCGATATGCAACAAGTGAATCCCACAAACAGAGTTCTGCCTCCTAGATTTTCCATCTTAATCCAGGAAGGCTTAGCAAGATCAAGCTTGAAAACTTCCACATCATCTACAATGTTGGTTGATTTCCTAGAGATGAGAAAAACCAGCAGGATCTCCCCACCAGATTCAATAAGAATTTCCCTGAAGCCCTTTGAGCAGGTAGAAGGAATGGCTCTTGTTGAACCCAGTATTTTCACTCTAGGATTAGAGTTAGCATCGATCACTGCTAAAGTTCCCTGCAAACTTAAGAGGTAAAACTTCCCTTCAAATACAATGGTGTTTGTAAACTGTATAGTACATGGCTCACTGGAATTTGGGTCGAAGAGTGTGCATTCCTCACCGATCCATTTCCCATCTCTCAATTTATAAAAAATAAAGTTTGGATGAGAACCACTGGTCAGAACCATTGAAAAACAGTTGGTTGTAGTATCAGTGGAGACTTTTTTGAAGCAGAAACCAGCTGAAGAACGCCATGGAAAGGAGAGTCCAATGGAACGAAAGGCTTGGTTGTGGTTGAATTCAAAATCAATTAAAAGGAGGTATTCGCAAGGCGACTTGCCTCCTCTCATTATCAGCTTTCCATGAGGAGAACCCACGTAATTATTCAAGTAGTTTCCGTCGGAATCCGAATCCCAAGTTCCAAACTCGGACCACCATGAGCACCATCGCTCGCTAAAGCTGTGATAAGTGGTCGTGTTTGCATAATTGGAAAGAACGAGCAGTGGAGATTGCTTGGCCGGGCTACATTTTCTCGGCAGTTTCCATGTTTTAGAGACGCTGCCATATTTGATAGTAGAGTCTCTTAGCTTGTACTGGTAAGGATATTTGATTAAGATGTCTATTTCCTTTGGAAGGTCTGTACATGGCTTCATCCTGTAAAGGGCATTTGGGTTAATCTTCTTCTCCTTCTTTCTTCTCCCCATTTTTGTTCCTTGCTTTGCTGTCGGATTTGCTTCTGTGAGTCAATGGCTTATGGTTAGAATTTAGAAATAAGAAAAAGAACAAAAGCAGCTTCGATTCTCTTAGCATTTAGATCAGTCGATCTACTCTCTCAGAGGCCACAAACACAATACCGTGCTTGAGAATAAGTTAATATCCAGTTACAGAAATCACAAGTACATGCATAATACATCTGAAGTTCAAATATTCAACCCATGACACATCAATGCCAAAGCAAATCATCGATTTAATTTGATCAAGCAATTCTCAGCGGCATTCAATTAATAAAGAATAAAAGTAAAGAAAGAGAAATGAGAATGAGAGGTGCGGGTACAAGAAGATACCTGCTGTTAATTAAGCTAATTAAAGAGAATGAGAGGGAGGGTGAGGCTAGTCTGATACTCTCTGGCCCAAGTGAAAGGAACAAAGCTAGAAATATTAAGTAGTTTACTCTCACAGTCACAGACGTAGCCTCCAAGTTCTAGTTATTATATAATAATATACATCAATCCAGACCTTTGTGTGCAAGGCACTCGTTATTTATTTATTAGTTTATTATGCCTCCATTTGTTTTTTTATTGTTCTTTATCTTCATGGAGAAGAGATGCCAAGGTGTTGACTGCCACCATGCGTGATAATGAACAATATTATAAACTGAATTCACTAGTAAGAAATTCTTGGGCTCAGTTTGTTTGTAGTGCGAAATTCATTTGTACTAATGTAAATGTAAGGGAGTGCAAATATTGATTGACTGCAAATTCAGGTTTACTTTGTCTTCACATTTGATGTTCCTAAATTTGAAGTAAAATGATGTGATCCCCACTTTATATGTAAGATAAAAGGAGGTATGAAGAAGGTTATTTGTTTCGGGGGAGTAAGGAAGGAAGCAAATTGTGTGGTACCCACTTATATGAGAGGGAATGGAGAAGGAAGGAAGGTGGTGCAAGTTTGGTATCAGTTTTATGGATGCGAAATTTGCATTTGTAAATGAGTGCAATTGAGATAAAAACTGCAAAATTTGCACCAGGTAGCTAGGATTGTATATCTTAACAAAACAAATGAATGCAAAATTGAACCGAATGCAAAAATGTGTATCCAATTCAAATTTGTGCTGCAAACAAACAGAGCCTAGAGATATGCCTATTGCTATAACAATCTCAGCATTCACTAATAGGAGATTGGGTTAGCTGAATGCATAGGCTGTTTTGTGGACTGTTAGAATCAATAATAACACCCCAGTTAAAATACATGAGGCCTTATAGTGAGAGATTGAATAGTTGTGGGCTCTATGGATTTTATAACTGGTGTGGAGCACGTACTGGAAAATTCATCTATAGAAGAAGCCATAACTGTCTCTAAAAGTGAGTGTCTCTAAAAGCCCTGTCGCTAAATGTTTTAGAGGCAGTTGGTTGAGAATTAGTAATCTACCTCTCAATTGAACTTTTAGAGGCACATACAACTACCTCTATTGTGTAGTGCCTCTAAAAGTTCAATTTAAAGGCACATTCGACTGCCTTTAAATGATTTTGAGGCGATTTTATATACCTCTAAAAAAATCTAAGAAAAGAACAAATCTTAATTAAAAAAGTTTCAATTTTTAGAGGCACTTTTAGTTGCCTCTAAAGCTATATGCCTTGGCATTTAGAGGCACTTTTGGCCACCTCTAAAAAGGTTCTATTATTTTTCTAAAGTATAATATATTGTGAATATTGTTCCATAAAAATGCAATTAATACACTTGTATAAAAATATATTCTTCAATCAAAACATAAAAGTTGTATGTTTTATCCAAAAGATACACCTTATCCATAAATTGTGAATAATTCCAATTGAGTTCCATCATCATTTTAAGAACAAAAAGAAACCAAAAATACAACATTTAGCCCTCATTATATTTCTTCTTCCTTTTTATTAGATGACTTCTTTTTTGACAACCTACAAATCAAATATAGAGTCCAAAAAAAATTTCCTTTAACATATAAAGAAACAAAATGCTCATTATAGTTTTCATCCAATCCTCCCTTCCTCTACAACCTGTAAAGAAAAGCAACAAAAAGAAAAAAAAAAGTAAATAAGTATAATTTTTGTAAATTAATAGCTTGTGTCCATCTAATTACATATAGAAAGACATATGTAAAGGAGAGAAGTAATAAGTATTTGGCTTAAAAAATACATGAAGACTGTTATCAGTAATTTTATAGTTAACTAGATAATAACAAGACTATTATCAGTAATTTTTAGCATTTTGCGTTTAACAGAAATGATAAATACAAATATAATGAGGAGATACAGTGTTGTACATGATGTGGTGAAGGCAACCAGTACTCTTTATGCTCTCAAACACCATATACAAGGTTTTGATACTAGCTCAATTCATTTAACAGTCAAAATGGATTAATCTTATAGTACTTATTAATAGTAGTCAAATACAAATTCAGTATATCAATCAATTAATAGCAGCAATTTTCAATCGGTTGGTTCTAGTCACATTGATCCCATCTTTGAAATCGAGATGGGAATTTGACTAGTTTGTATCCAATAAAGAGAAGATTAATTTGAGTAAGTGGCTAGACATTGATATCATTAACATGATTCAATTAGAACTCCCATCATGAGAGTAATCATGTGTAAGCAAACCCAACGATTATATTTGATACTCTGACAATAAACTTCTATTCTATCCTTGCTATTTCAATTCAAAACTTGAGTAGTCTCCATTTATGAAAAGCTTGACTCTATCAACTAAACGCACCTACATTCTTAATAAATCTTTACTTGAAAGAGTAAAGCCTGGACAAACATTTCTTTCGCTTCACCCTTGATGAGGGCAGATTTGACCCTCCAGTGAAATTGCGATACGTGGCACCTCGTGACAACTAGGCAAACACCTAGGCAAACAACTTATCAAGTTGGTGTCCCACCCGGGCACCGGTCTGGCTGGCCTAGCGCGACCTGCATGCGGCCTACGGGCGGCCTGGCGCGGCCTGCACGACCTGGCCGGATCAGCCTGGTGCATGATCCGACCTGGCCGACCTGGCAACCTATAAGATGCCCACCGAGAACCATTAACAACATACCCGTGAGCTCGGTAGCTCACCAAGGAGCTCGCCAAGGAGCTCGGTAGCTCACCAAAGAGCTCGCCAAGGAGCTAGGCAGCTCTCCAAGGAGCTCGCCGCCAAGGAGCCAGACAACTCGGCATAGCTCCCCCGGGCTTCTCGCCACTTGTAGGGTAGCTCGGTACAAAAGAGTAGTTTGGCGTATCGCAGGAAGATCTCCTGCCTGACAACCTGGCCCAGACACCGACCCG